CCCCCCCCCGCGGCTGTCGCCATGCGGCCCGAGATGGCTTGCTGCCGGCCCCCGGGGAAAGGCTGCGCACCGTGCTGGCTGCCGGCGAAAGGACTATGTGACGGAAACAAAGATCTGTCTTGCGTAGCGCCCCTCTAAAGGTAGTTTATTTTCGCATTTGTCGACATGAGTGCTTCGGTTCAACGTCCTGGCATTGGGTGTCACATCGTCGTCATATCATGTCATGTCTTACTGTGTTTGTATTCGCACTGAAGTTTTGCAGGTGATTATGGTGGACCTACCAAAGTCTTAGCTGCCTGTCTCCTGGATAGCAAAGATACGATGTTGCCCTATTTTCTTGGAGGTGGAGGAGCTGAGAATGAGAAATTAATGAGTTAGAGCTAACTTCTTCCAGTTCTGTAAGAAGTCTGGTGTTTAATATTTCTTTCCATATTTTTTTCGTGCTCTATAGCATGAATTAGTTAGGTGTGTTTCATCTGTGATGGGTTTTGACTACATGTTTGCCAATCATTGTCTACGGTAAGTCTGACACAACTAAACTGACTTCTTAAAAGTTGTTGCTGCAACACCTGAAGAGTAGCTGACAATTCTGCTGAGCATGTGTTGTGTCAGTTTCTGCAGGTGATCGCATTGTGCCCTTCCAGGATTACTAGATAATTGACAGTATAAAGTTACAATTTGGTATCAGCAGAACCAAAATGACAGATTATACAAGCATTCTTACATCACGCTTGTATTTAAAGTAACATTTATGTTCTGGGCATACAACTTGGAGATGTTGATTTGCAAGTCAAGAATTTAGTGAGAGGTAGCCTGTTCATCAGAAAAAATGTAGTTTGATATTACATAAAATACAGATAGTTACTTTGTAATTTACTACAAGATTTTGGTCCTTGCTATTAACAAATGTAAGGTCAAATGTGAGTGATTTCACATTGAAATTTGCTAGTGAATCGCCAAAGAAAAGAGTATTTAATTTGTTGTGGAAGCAGCAATTTTTTTAATTGATCAAGTTCAGGTGGTGATTCAGTCTTTCACCAAGGATTGAATATAAAGAGTCATATAACAAGGGATGAAAAAAGAGGCATTATTTGTCTGAGTAATGACCAAACAGTTTTTCAGAAAAAGATAGAATGTAATTAGTTTCTGTATAAAAGATTGAAAATTTCAGTAAGGACACTGGGTATGCTGCTCCTTCTTATAGTTCAAACATCACCCTGTCCTAAGAGAAAACTGAAAGTAAGTTCTTAGATTTTTCTGGAGGTGGGATCTTTCATCTGGGCTTGGAGAAAATGTAGGCACTCTCTAATAATGTGTCCAAGACTAAAGGTAGTACAGAGACTGAAATTCTGGATGCCATCTCATCAAGAGGGGCAGAAGGTCAGGCTGGCTAAGAGTGTGATGGAGACCTAGCGTGAATAGATTAAGCAATTTTTTTCCATTTCTACACCTATTCCTTTTCATAAGTATCAGAGCTGTATTAATTACTATGGTGAGTTTTCATAAAATCTGAAAGAAATACCTAAATATCCTCTGTGTATTTATTACTGAGATGCCCTTCTAAGAGCACGTTTTACTGGTAAGAAATATTTATCTTCCTCTAATAAAGATGAAATAGTGGAATTTGAGCACGTGTAAAGTAATTATTTTAGGAAGTCTAATGTTCTAACAAGCTATTGGATTTTTCTTGTGCGGTCTTCCATTTTGCTAAGGGAAAGATTTGCGGTAATTACAGAGCAACTCCAGACTGTGCACCTTTGGCGTTCCACAGTCAGCCAGTTCTAGGGATCATACAAATTTCTTCTCCCATTCAGGCTGTATCAAATATGTATGATGGTAGTTGTTGGAGAAAGAACTTTGTGATCCTTATATAGCTGATAAACTTGTTAGTCTTAGCTGGATTTACAGTAGTTCTGTGTAAGATCTTGTAAATACAGATGTATTATGTTTACGTTTTCCAGGTTTTAATTCTGGCAAAGGCAGACTTCTGCTATTAATGAACATCATAAACTGTAATGGCCTGCTAAATGATGGGAGTCTTAAGAAATTCTAGGATGATAGGTTTCAAAATTTTTTTTTACCAATTAATATTTTGTTTACAGGAAGAACAAATAGTGTAAGACCAGTGTTTCTCAGTAACATAAATAGGCACTGTTCCTGAGTTAATTGAGCTTTGTTTGCATTGCTTCCTGTTAGATGTTTGATGCTAGTAACTGACAAAACAAATAGTTATTGATGTCCAAGAACTTCTTTGTTCTGGAGTGTCTATAGCATTCCTATAAACTGTGTTGTCATAGGTAAAAGTTGGACAGCATCGTCTTTGTACAGATAAGATATACTTGTTTAGCTTATTTCTGAGTGGGAAGGATAATTACTTACCACTTGAGTAGGTAACTTCAGTTCAGTATAATTAAATGGCAGGAGTTGTTCTAGTATTACTGTCCTGGTGAAAACAAAAAAACCCTCTGACACTCTTAATGGAAAGTTTTGCCAGTACAATGTAGAAATCAAACCTTTGGTTCAAATATTATAATGAAGTAAAGTGTATGTGTGTTTTGAAATTAAAGGACATTTAGCTGGGTGATGATTTAACTACTTATCATCAAATCTTCCAAGGAAATGAGGCAAGTAATGGACTGTGATGTGTGTCTCCTTTCTTTTTTAATTTTTAGACTAATTTTTTAATTCATAGGCTAATTTCAAAGAATTTGGGAAGGAGTAGAGACCTCAAAAGTTGTGGGTTGGTTTGGTTGGTTTTTTTTAAATTATCATGTGTTTAAAGAATAATGCCTCCATGAAGCAACATGCTCCCAACTGTTCTGATCTAAAACGGAACAAAGAATGAAAACATCATGCTGTTCAACTGACTCTATGAATGGGATCTTAAGGTACTCTACAGTGGTAAGGACCCTGGGTGAAAAGAAGAGGGAACTGCTGTTGTGATGAGGTGAAATAAGACAGAAAAATATATCAGTCATAATTACTCAGCTATTCATGGAGTAATTGGTTTAGACATTCTATCCATAATTTATTTTATATTTTCATGCAAATTTGTTTATATCAGTGTAACAGCTTCAGGAACTCACATTATTTCCATGTTAACAAATTAGTATCGTGTCAAAAGTGTATAGATGTTCTTTTTCTTTTTCTCTAATTGCACCTATACCTAGATAACAGAAAAAAGCAAGATCTTGGCAGAACCCACAGCTAGCAGGGTCCAGTAATTTTAAGAAGCCATCATCTTGCTGCTGGCAAATAGCATGGTACAGTTTCAGTGTGACTGCGTGGCTGAAAAATTGAGATTGAGAAGAGTTAAAAACCGTAACATCCCATTCCTGTATGGGATTATTGCATTTTGATTTCTGTGACCAAAGAAGGGGGATATGGAGGGGGAAGTAAAGACTGCAGAAAGTGAAAACAAAATGAAATAGTAGAGACTAGAGTTTTTGAGAAAGAAGAGGAAAACACAGTATTTCTTACCATTTTCTACTCATCATGTTCTTTTATACAAGGGAAAACATAACTTGTAGAATTAAGAAGTTCAGTGTTGAAATTATTATGTATCATCTGCATATGATCATGCTTTTGCAGCGTCTGTCTGTATTAAGTCTAATTGTATTCTCATCTTGTGTTTAATTTTATAAATATGCAGGCTGAAGGAGTCTTTTTAAAGAACTATAGGTGTCTTATATATTTCCTATTTGAAAAAGCTTTCTAAGAATTTTCAGGTGTCTTGTCACAGAATAGCTTCTAAAGTTAAACTTTTCTGGTAACATTTGCTAGATGGCAGCACATAATCATCAAGTGCCATGGGTGAGGGCAAGTTTAAAGGGACAAAGCTCATGTTAATATGAAAAATTATTGTTGTTTATCAGCAGTATACAGTAGTATGATACTGAAGCTTTTGAATGGGAACCAACCCATTTTTCTCTTAAATTTTTATTTAATAATCAATTGCATGCATCCAGAATAATTTCTCTATAAAAATATTATGGACCTCTTACTGAATTAAAAAAGGTTGAGCTTTATTTACAAAGCTATGTTTTTTAGGTAATAATAGCTGATGTCTACGTAATGCTTGTCATCTGCAGTTGAAGTGTTCTCTTTTTTTTCTTAAAGGGTGGAATCGAGATAAAAGTGTATCTTCAGAG